GATAGGTGAGGATGGTGCATCTGGAGGGTAAAGAATAGTGATGTTAGAACATTTCAGGCAAGACAGCAATTGAATGAATTATGGTGAATGTGTTTTTGTTTGTTTGGGTCACCCTGTCTTGGCAGGAGACGACCGTTGAAATAAAAATAATATTTAACGCACAGTGAGATGCCATTTTACTTCAAGAGTAATGGAGAAAATCCATATCTTTGCATGAACAAATCGAAGTGAGCGTAATGAATCTCAGACTGCTTATACTCACTGTGTTGAAGCATATATATGCGGTGTTAAATCAATATAAAAAATAACAGAATTCATAAACATTTCATAATAGTTACTATACAGATTCCTCTTGTTTAAACAAAAAAATAAATGAATACATTGCCACAAAGAAAAATTAATGTTCAAGTGAATACTTTACGGGAAAGTAAAGAAAACTATGGAAAATGTTACTTATAATAGGGTTAATGTTTATGCCACATTTATTGCTTGGTAACTAACGTACTGAAGACAATATATTTTTTAAATGTAACTTAATTGAATAATGAAGTCCCTGGCACCCGTAAGAGCAAATTTTACAGCCGAAATTGCTTAATATGAACGTGGCACTTTACCCTCGTGTACCCGGGAAATGACTCATAAAAAAATGATGGAGAGATTGGGGACTAGTTTTTTGCCAGCCTTGCCCAAGAAAAAAGTTATAGTATCTGAGGCGATGAGGATGGTTAAATAAAGTTAACTCCTCAAATGAAGGTTAAATAAATAAACAGTAACTGACAATTCATTTTGCTGACCCCCGGCCATTGACCGGATACAGAAAGAAGCCACTAGATTTTTAGATTTTTGTCCCATTAATTAATGGAAATGATTAATAGGATATATACCCAAGACATCCTTTCTAGCATGCCTAGATGATGAGGGAACTTCTACCTATTAATAGGTACTGCCCTCTCCTCACATCAAACAATATTATCCCCCACCCCACCTCACCCCCTCTCTACACTCCCCCGTGACTGTAATAATAGTAATGTGTTGGAAAGTGAACGTTAAAACAATTGCTCCAGCTGTCCAAAGCAAAAGTGAGACAACACTCGTGAATCTTCTAATGGCATCTATACGAATCCACAACATCATAAAAAGCAGAGTTATGTTAGTTAGTGGATACCACTGTATCAATGCACGTCAGTGTTACAGCAGTGAACGGTAGTGCTATAGCAGTGCATACCAGTGCTTGCTTCCTAATACTTCCCTACCATGTGATCAACGATACCATTGCACAGGTCATCTGACGACGACGCTCCGTGTCATAAAGGATGCTGGAAACAAACAACAGACAGCTGCTTAGTCCCACTCCCCGACCTGCCTAGTATTGCCACCCCTCTAGATCCCACCCAGGTAACCTCCCCACCTTACCCTCCACAACACCTCAGCATCTTCTACCTCTCTAGAATCACCCCGTCTCCCCGTCTGTCTCTCCCTCACTACCTGAGTAAGGTTGAGAAAATTGAGAGTGCCGTTGAAGTTGTCTTCCTCTTGTAGACAGCCGAGGTAAGTTTCTTCTACTGGAGTCCACTTCTGTGGAGGCTCCACCTCCACCGTCCCCCTCACCTCCACCTCCTCCTCTTCCTGTTCTTCTGTGGGATGATAAAACATCATTTTTGTTAGCTGACTGTAAAATCATTATCTAGAATAATAATAATTAGTAGTAGTAGTAGTAGCATTTTTATTATCACTAATTTTATTAATGAAGGTACTATTATCAGCATTAATTTTATTATGACAGCTTTACTACACTTTCAGCATTTATTTATACATTTATTTCTTACGTGTTCTTCCTTTTACAAGAAGAGTGAAGATACTCGCTGAGTCTGTCTTCCTGTTAGTACAGACAGACATGTACTCAGACATAAATAATTTTTCTTCCTTTGCCCAGACAAGGACAACTGACTGACTGCTGCCCCACGACCCACCAAGAGCTGGTACCACTTACCACCATGGTCGTCTTGCAGTGGGAGGTCCTGGGAGGTCGTGGCGTGCCCAGTACTGATGGTAGTGGCGTTTCCACCCACGCCCTCACCCAACTGGGCGTAGGCGTGGCCAGCCAGGCACGCTGCTACCACCCACACCCACGCCCACGCGCCCATCTCCCGCAGCCGGGCGCTCCTCATCCAGCTCTGGGGTAAGAGAAAACTGTTTTATTCATTCTTAATTATATTTATGTATAATAGTGGCTGAATGACAGCTTTAAATTTAACGTGTAAATTATAGGCGACACTCAGCAGCGTTGAAGAAAAAGAAAAAGATTTTATTTAGATTAACCCAAAGAGTTAGTAACCCAAGATAGTCAACTAAAGTTAGAATCTGTTAGGTGATACCAACAAGTTGTGGGAAGACCTTGCTCACTCCATACACTCCATGTTTGTTCATACACTCCATGTTTGTTCATACACTCCATGTTTGTTCATACACTCCATGTTTGTTCATACACTCCATGTTTGTTCATACACTCCATGTTTGTTCATACACTCCATGTTTGTTCATACACTCCATGTTTGTTCATACACTCCATGTTTGTTCATACACTCCATGTTTGTTCATACACTCCATGTTTGTTCATACACTCCATGTTTGTTCATACACTCCATGTTTGTTCATACACTCCATGTTTGTTCATACACTCCATGTTTGTTCATACACTCCATGTTTGTTCATACGCTCCATGTTTGTTCATACACACAATGTTTGTTCATACACTCCATGTTTGTTCATACACACAATGTTTGTTCATGCACTCCATGTGTGTTCATACACTCCATGTTTGTTCATACACTCCATGTTTGTTCATACACACAATGTTTGTTCATACACTTCATGTTTGTTTATACACTCCATGTTTGTTCATGAACTCCATGTTTGTTCATACACACAATGTTTGTTCATACACTCCATGTTTGTTCATACACTCCATGTTTGTTCATACACTCCATGTTTGTTCATACACTCCATGTTTGTTCATTCACTCCATGTTTGTTCATTCACTCCATGTTTGTTCATACACTCCAAGTTTGTTCATACACTCCATATTTGTTCATACACTCCATGTTTGTTCATACACTCCATATTTGTTCATACACTCCATGTTTGTTCATGCACTCCATGTTTGTTCATACACTCCATGTTTGTTCATACACTCCATGTTTGTTCATGCACTCCACGTTTGTTCATACACACAATGTTTGTTCATACACACAATGTTTGTTCATACACTCCATGTTTGTTTATACACTCCATGTTTGTTCATACGCTCCATGTTTGTTCATACACTCCATGTTTGTTCATACACTCCATGCTTGTTCATGCACTCCATGTTTGTTCATACACACAATGTTTGTTCATGCACTCCATGTTTGTTCATACATTCCATGTTTGTTCATACACACAATGTTTGTTCATGCACTCCATGTTTGTTCATGCACTCCATGTTTGTTCATTCACTCCATGTTTGTTCATACACTCCATGTTTGTTCATACACTCCATGTTTGTTCATACAATGTTTGTTCATACACTCCATATTTGTTCATACACTCCATGTTTGTTAATACACTCCATATTTGCTCATACACTCCATGTTTGTTCATACACACAATGTTTGTTCATGAACTCCATGTTTGTTCATACACTCCATGTTTGTTCATACACTCCATGTTTGTTCATACACACAATGTTTGTTCATACACTCCATGTTTGTTTATACACTCCATGTTTGTTCATACACTCCATGTTTGTTCATACACACAATGTTTGTTCATACACTCCATGTTTGTTTATACACTCCATGTTTGTTCATACACTCCATGTTTGTTCATACACACAATGTTTGTTCATACACTCCATGTTTGTTTATACACTCCATGTTTGTTCATGCACTCCATGTTTGTTCATACACTCCATGTTTGTTCATACACTCCATGTTTGTTCATACACTCCATGTTTGTTCATACACACAATGTTTGTTCATACACTCCATGTTTGTTCATACACTCCATGTTTGTTCATACACTCCATGTTTGTTCATGCACTCCATGTTTGTTCATACACACAATGTTTGTTCATGCACTCCCTGTTTGTTCATACACTCCATGTTTGTTCATACACTCCATGTTTGTTCATACACTCTATGTTTGTTCATACACTCCATGTTTGTTTATACACTCCATGTTTGTTCATACACTCCATGTTTGTTCATACACTCCATGTTTGTTCATACACTCTATGTTTGTTCATGCACTCCATGTTTGTTCATACATTCCATGTTTGTTCATACACACAATGTTTGTTCATACACTCCATGTTTGTTCATACACTCCATGTTTGTTCATTCACTCCATGTTTGTTCATACACTCCATGTTTGTTCATACACTCCATGTTTGTTCATACTCTCCATGTTTGTTCATACACTCCATGTTTGTTCATACTCTCCATGTTTGTTCATACACTCCATGCTTGTTCATACACTCCATGTTTGTTCAAACACTCCATGTTTTTTCATGCGCTCCGTGCTTGTTCATACACTCCATGTTTGTTCATACACTCCATGTTTGTTCATACTCTCCATGTTTGTTCATACACTCCATGTTTGTTCATACTCTCCATGTTTGTTCATACACTCCATGTTTGTTCATACTCTCCATGTTTGTTCATACACTCCATGTTTGTTCATACTCTCCATGTTTGTTCATACACTCCATGTTTGTTCATACTCTCCACATTTGTTCATACACTCCATTGAGTGTATGAACAAGATTCCAGGACTGAAACGTCTCCATAACGAAATGTCGTAAATATTTGTCCATGGGTCTTTAACCATGACAAAATAAAACCACTATGCTTGACGTTTCGCCCATTTCTGAACCATTAATAAATCAGGACATGACACGGGTCCAGGGCTGACCAAGACGTACCGATATCCAATTTGCGGAATAGCTGTGAATTAGTCCCGCTAGGTTAGCACGACTAGGTAAATCGTCTGTCTCCTGATTAACGGACGGAGGATCGAGCTTCTGCCAATACTCACTGAATGACTCACACGGGTTTACTGCTTAACGTTATTAGAATCCTTCTATTCGATAAAAAAAATCGCTGCACTCGCCCCTGCGTGTTATATTACATCGCTGTTAAAAGACTTGAGAAAGGGACAGGAGTTATTAATTCGTTACATAAATACATCTTAAAAAAATGACAAACGAAATTTCACAGCAATATGAATGTAGCACTAGGCAAGGCCAAGGAATAAGCTGGGATCGATCCCCCACACGAGTGGAATGCCGTTCACTTATCCTATTATTCAAGCCTCGATGAACTTCAGTATTTTCACGATGACAACTGAAGGACCTGCGTTCCATCTTGGGAAAGTCGAGACTATGGTCAAATCTTCTATACACCTATTGCCCCCGTTCACCTAGAAGTAAATAGGCACCTGGGTGTTAGTCGACTGTTGTGGGTGGCATCCTGGGAACATGGGGTAACGCTGGTGGTAGTTACTTTTCCGTGGCTACAGGAGGAGAAATCAGGGAGCGGGTGGAGTGTGAACCCATGGCAAGTGAGTTCCAAAACTCGACCAGCTAGCAGTGTTATTACGAATTCGTGAGTCATGGTTACAGGAGGAGAGGTAAATGGGCACAAATGTATCTAAGGTGTCATTTCATTGTGGCAACGTTTCTCTCTCCAGGAGCTTAGTCTAGCTGTTACAAACATTACAAAGACTTAACAACGCTCCTGGAGAGTGAAACGTTGCTACAATAAAAGTTCACATTAGTTGTATCTGTGTATATTTACCAAACATTTAGTGGGTAATTCTGCCATTATTACTAAGACAGTTGTGCTCATGGTGCCCCGTCATACTTAATTTTAATTGTACATTATTAATTTCCTATGGTTGTAGCACCTACTACCTCCTCTTTCAATTTATTCCATTCTTCCACCACTCTATTTGTAAAAAAAAATGCCCCATTATCACTTCGGAATTATTTTTGTCGTCATAGCTCTGGTCTCTTGTTATTATTGGTAAAGATACTAAGGTATCTTTTTTATTTATTCTGTCGTTTCCTTCTATAACCTTACATGGATACTAATATAAAAAATATATTTTTGTCCTGGTCAAAATCGAACACAAAATATCTAAAATTAATAATGTTTAAATAATATTAAAAATTGTTGTTATTATTATTATTATTATTATTATTATTATTATTATTATTATTATTATTATTATTACTATTATTATTATTATTATTATTATTATTATTATTATTATTATTATTATAAGTATTAGTAGTAGTCTTTTAATTTTTAATATCATCATTATTATTATTATTAATTTACTTATTCATTTATTCATTTTTATCATATATAACAATAAATTTATTAAAGTTTACCTAGCAAGCAACGAGACTACGAACAGAATCTGTGTAAGAATGTTGAGATACGCTGAGAATTATTTCCTGGAAGGAAGTGCGGAAATGTCTCCGCTTCGAGCAGGACAAAAAAGGTCCTGTCACATTGAACTTTCTAATTAGTGCATTTGCACTAATTAAAGTAATTTAATATGCTAATTTTCTGCAATATTTACACAGAGTTGAACAAATTTCAATTATCTGAAGCAAGAACTTTGAGAAGCTTGAATTACAGTAACCTTCCATCTACTGTATCTTAATCACGTATATCAGGGTCGATGCAAGATTCAGTGAGTTTCTTTCTATAATAAAAAAAAATATCTCAGCACTTTCTTTGGTTTAAATAACGAAGACAATACCCCATTCCTTCAAATTTTAAAATTATATGATACCAACAGGATTAGAGTTTTTTCCACTAAAAAATAATATTCCGCTGTCTAAATGTACCTTCACTTGCCTCGATCATGAACACGATTCAGACGCCGAAAGCTGATACCAAAGAAATTAGTAATGGTGCATTATTTCTGGCCAAGGTGCATTTTGTGACACACATTCACCACCTAAAGTGACTTTTGGATACATGGAACATCCACCGTCCCTTTCCCAAACGTCGCTGTATATTGGTACCGCATTTCAAGAAACTGTTCAAAACTCTTGTGTATGGAAATGTAAACATTTTTCTCTCAAAGTGAATTTGCCAAAAAAATGATAATCGCGATCGCGTAGTATGTTATTGCCTGTATAACACATGAGACAGGCTTCCAGACTTCATGTGCCACTGACACTGTTTTCGTGGTACCAATCTTAAGTTTTCATAGTTTGTATACAACCTGTCATTATTATCACATGTAATATTATTGTTAGACGATAAGCAAGTTGAAATGTAACTTATAGCTAAAAGAACATAAGTAATATCCTTACAAAAGACTGTTATTTCACATATATAGTAATTTATTTATAGCAGGTTTGCTAGGTTAAGTTAGGTTAGGTCAAGAGCGCGATAGACGTCAGGGTTATTTACCCTGGGGCTCGTGCCTGTTGCTGGGGCCGCGACTAAGCCCTTTTATATAATATAAATTAGCTAACACTGCAGGTTGCTCCTTACATAATAAGTCTGACACACGTTGGTCAGCTTGGCTACTCATATTTACATGAAACTGTTATCTATATGAAATCCTTCGAGTGCATCTTTATGGCTTCAGTTTGTTTAAAAATTCTAAGAGCCATTGACTACAGAACCGAGAGTCTTAAAGCCAAAAGTTCAGCACCAGATCCTGAGGTTAAAATATTTAGGAAAGCTTGAACGCGGATTACGTTCATTTACGGTAAGAAATAAATGAAGTGTAATTGTATCCGAATGCACGTTTGTTGACGAAAAGTTAATAAGAGCTTTTCAGACGAAACAAATGAAGAGAAAATGGAAGAAACGAATTCAGGAAATCAGTTCAAAACTAATATTTTTATGGTCTTCTGGATTGGATTGTTGGCAACATTACAAAGCTATATAAAGCAGTATGAGAGCTGTAGTTAACCCGTAAGTCGATGATGTAAAAGAAAGTGCTGGAAATATGTGAAGTAAATATAGCGATTCCCAGCCAGAGTAGAAACATTGGGCGTGTTTCTTTACACTTGTTGTCTATGTTCCCCATCAGCAAAATAGGTACCTGGGTGTTAGTTGACTGGTATGGGTCGCATCCTGGGACACTGACCTAATTTGCCCGAAATGCTCAGCATAACAAGGGGCTTTCTATATAGTAGTATGTCATTGTTGTCAGCTAGGACTGTATACCTTGTACATGTACTTGTAGTAAATGAAGATATTATTATATTACTATTATTTGTCCCAGGATCTAGTAATGGAATTACACCATTTGAAAGGTATTCATTCAGTACATCTGGAAAAAAAAAACACGCTATTGAATTTCAGAACAGAGCACTCTGCTTGTACCACTGACATTAGTAAAGTCTTCCTTCAGACTGGCTTATAGGATCAAGAGTAGGGTTACGCTAGGACTTTGTGAGTGAAAAATAATACTTCAGAAACTAAGCAAGAAACATAGATCTTTCAGTTACTTAACAGTTTAAGTCATTTAAGTCTTAACGCTTTATTTCTAAATGTACGCATTATTCTGAGAGTATTTCGGACTTTTGCAGCTACGGCTGCGAGAGGCGGACACATTCTAATGTTCTCTGGCAAGAGTAAAAAATGTGCTGAGATCAACTTTGTGCCAGAGTCGACTAAACAATTTAGGATTTTGGCAATGGCAGTTCGTCTGACAAGAAAACTTAATTTTAATGGCATTATCAATTTGCTTGCTAGACATAAAGTCCCAAGAATGTATTTTAAATAGTAGTTAGGTTAGGTAAGGTTCGTCAGGAAACAGGACAAATGTTTCCTGACGCGGGTCTTAGTCAGATGATGACCCGCCTTTGCAGCTTTTGGTCATCTGACCGAAGCCTTCCCCTGGCTTACCGGTCCACCCCTTTAAAAATTATGGTCATTTATAACCAGTCTACTTTTGATTTTAAATAGTAGTAAATTCGAGTTCTATTTGTATAAAGTAGTTTATTAGTCTGTTGTTGCCATATTTCTTTCTTTTGTATATATATATATATATATATATATATATATATATATAATCTATCTACACTCTGTACCTTATAAATGTTATACACTTTTTTTTTATTTTCGGAGGAGGTGGAGGAGGAGGCCCAACAATGTATTAGTGTCGGGGCCCTGGTTGGCAGGCTACTCTCCTGGATGAAGTGGGGGGGGGGGTTACGTAGCCTACGTAACTTAAACTATCGTAGTATATGAATAAAACATGTGCAACACCTGGGAATCTTTACTGATTAGACGGTTCGCCAACCTGTAAAGTGATAATTTCGAGGTGTTCAATCCCTCAGCCTTGATAGATGGTGCTCAGTCCCTCAGCCTTGATAGATGGTGCTCAGTCCCTCAGCCTTGATAGATGATGCTCAGTCCCTCAGCCTTGATAGGTGGTGTTCAGTCCCTCAGCCTTGATAGATGGTGCTCAGTCCCTCAGCCTTGATAAATCTAAAGCAGATGCATGAAGATGGAGACTTCATTACTAGAGCTAGAGGAGAGGTGCTGCTGTGTCTGACAGGTATTCATTAATGACATACATCTCTTAGGCATGACCTACTTCCACTAGCGGGTTCTGCCTACACTTCCTCTGGCTTCGGTATTCAAGTCTCCATTCTTAAGCATCTGCTTTAGATTAATATCAACACCTCTAAGAAACTTGATTCCTATCAAGACTGAGAGACTGAACACCTCAATATTACCTCTCCACTTATTACTGTCTCCAGAATATTTTCTCAGTATTTGACTAAAAAAAACACTTGTGGGAAAAATATCTCAATAAATGTTGTTAGGTTCGGCACATGCCTTATTCATCAACATATCGGTACTGTGTACCAATAATGTAACTCAGCACAAATTCTTAAAGCAAAATAATATATAAAAGAGAGCCTCATTTCAAAGAATATTAGTTAAAAATTCAACTTGTTGAACATTATGTCCGAACATTACATACAAAAATGAGGAGAGTCGTGTCATCAGGGTGTTATGTCCTATAAATAACATCATATGACGTTTATGCAAACACTGGGCTATAAATTATAAAGCTTGAAAGCATATTAACAAGCGTCACTGCCAGCTGCCTTGTCCATTAATACTGACAGCATATACAGTCAACACCGCTTGCTTAAACAACACAACAAGCCGGTCTAAAACGCAAAACTGTTTTGCTTATGTTACATATAATATAGTTCGCGAGGATGAGATAAACTAAATTTCTCCTTGATATATTAAAATAATTTTAGAGTAGAGGGGTCTCTTGATGCTGAAGGACTGTCGATCCAGGGAACTGGAGCTACTTGGATCACACCTGATTATTCACCTTTACGTTACCCAGGCTCTCGTATAACCTCTATAGAACATCACCTCTCTATGAGTATAATAATAATAATAATAAATAATAATAATAATAATAATAATAATGATAATAATAATAATAATAATAATAATAATAATAATAATAATAATAATAATAATAATAATAATATGATTATTCCGGTGGCAAAATCCTTTCTTTCACTTGAAAGATTCTTAAAGGATTTTGTCTAAATAACTGGGTTTTTTTTGTATTAGGAATGCTTGAAAGGAAATGTATGACTGGTTTACACTTGTTCTCTCCAGGCTGGAATATTGCTGTACATTAACATCTCCGTTCAAAGCAGGTGAAACTGCAGACCTAGAGAATGTACAAAAGAACATTTACTGCACATACAAGCTCTATCAAACTACCGGGAACGCTTGGTGGCACTTGACTCGTTACTCACAGGCGCGCAGGCGAGAGAGATACATCATAATCTACACTTGGAAAATCCTAGAAGGAATGGTTCCTAATCTGCACACAGAAATCACTCCCTACGAAAGCAAAAGACTGGGCAGGCGGTGCAAAATACTCCCAATGAAAAGTAGGGTCGCCATTGGTACACTAAGAGAAAACACAGTAAGTGTACGGGACCCAAGACTGTTCAACAACCTCCCATCAGGCAAAAGAGGAATTACCAATAGACCCCTGGCTGCCTTCAAGAGGGAGCTGGACAGACAAAGTTGGTGCCGGATCAGCTTGGCTGTGGTTCGTATGTTGGACTACGTGTAAACAGCAGTAACAGCCTTTTTGATCAGGCCCTGATCCACCGGGAGGCTTGGTCGTTGACCAGGCCGCGGGGGAGTTGATCCCCGGACCACCCTCCAGTTAGATAGAAGTTTGTAGGCCTCAAAGTCCAACTGATTGATCAAAGGCCAACCCGACAACCTATCGTGTACTATTTTCAAGAAGTGCTCGAAGTTATTCTTCCTCAGGAAAAATCTGTTGACGTGGGTCTTAGTCATATGTCGCCCCGCTCAGTGATTGAGCAACCGCCTCTGTACCAGCGTTCCGTCTCCACCTCATCAAAACAAAAAAAAAGATCCCTTAGTGTACTAATTTTGTTGCTAATGTTACTGCTGTTGTTAAGATGCTGTTTCGTATTTTTGCGGTGCAAATAAAGCATATCTCATATCCATCAAACATGTGGATAAAAACATTGTGTAACATTGTATATATTTTTTTGCCTATGTTTGCTAGTTGATGTGTGTGTGTGTGTGTGTGTGTGTGTGTGTGTGTGTGTGTGTGTGTGTGTGTGTGTGTAATGTATTTACATTACTCGGCAGTGGATAATTCATAATGTGACCTTACTAGCTACCCGACTGAATTCACAGTAAACACCATAACTACCAAGTATACAATGGAAAACATTATAAAAAGAACTTGGGATATAAGTTTTACCCGAAGTTTAATTGGTGTATCCTGTCACGTTATGGAAGAATGTGGTGTTGAAGAATTAATGGAGGGAAGAGTGAGTGGCCGGGCTACATGACATGCTCACCTGGGCAGAGAGATGTGACGCTCACACTGATACGATTTTCTAAAATGTAAGTTAACACAATTTTTTCTTTTAAGTAATTCTTGGTACAGATATTCCTTCTCGGTGCTTTTCTTCCTTTCTGGACACCACTGTCATATGTTATCTCCAGCTTATCTAATTCCTTATCAATCTTATCATGTAGCTCCCGCTACACGAATTGCACTGAATTGTCCATCACTGTTATTTATATAATACACTCAGTCTTGGGACACTGCTAGGATAGACCGAGACAGGAGAAGGGAGAGAGAGAGAGAGAGAAAAGGTGTTGTTGCGTGTAGTGAAGAGAGGGAAGTGTATTCCATGCCACGCCAGCTCTCATGACTCAGGTCGAGACGTGAGTCACTTTGTGGCCGTCACCACGCTTACAACTTCCACTTATTTACTGTTGCTCAAGTCTTGTCCCTTCTTAGAAGACTACGTCGTCGTATTCACTAACCGCGTGATTAATCCAGGATGAAAATGAGCTAAGTAAAGCGAGAGTGGCGTATCTGTTAGGTTAGTTATAGCAGAACGTAGGTTAACACTAGTCATAGCACCGGTAACAGGTGTCTCCCTTCACTCAGTTGTACGTGCTGTATTGATTACTCTTGTGTTTTGTTATTTACTTCCTCTTTTATATAATGTTTGATATTACCACTGCTATTATAAGACCTTCGCTCAGTTGTAATAGCATTATTTTTTGGTTATGTTAGGTTCTTCACACATATGCTGCTATGTATGATAATCTGTGTAACTGTGTATACCTGAATAAACTTACTTATTAAATTTGTTGCATTCTATGTTTTCAGTGTTCTTAATTTATTAGAATCGCTTGAATTAAGACAATAATATACACCAAGAGGCGTGCTTCTCTCAGTGTAAATATATGTTCAGAGTTTACTTTAATCCTTGTTTAAAGGCTTAAAGTAATCATAACTGGTGGTAAACAGGTGATGTGCAGACTTGATGACCTTCGTTTGGTCAAGAGGCTGTAAACCCCCAGGATGATGGTTATAATAAATAAATCGAGCTATTTTTATGATACGTACATTATAATATGGTAAGGCTAGGTGGCCAAGTTAGCTTAGATGCAAAATAAAAGATTGACCTCTTACAAATTCACATAATTTTTTTAGGGGGATGATGCGAACATTCATGTGGTCCAGTCATTATATATTGCCCAATATTTTTTAAACTGCCGTTAAGCAGGCCGAGCTGCCCTTAAAATAGGGCATTTCAAAAATATCTGTATTGATTATGTATTTTTGTATATTAACATATTATATATATTTTGGCAACAAAACTAAAACTAAGTTATCAATCTCACCGAATCTTTCTAAAACGAAATTAATATACGGTAATTTAACATAATCCTACCCTAGCTATATTAGATCAATGTAAATAAGTTAATAAGTTAACGTCAATGCAATATATTAATTTTATTAATTTAACATTAATGGGCTATATTAATCTCGTAATGTTTAGGAGGATTTTAGCAGCGTTACTACAACAGTGAGTTTACACTCTTATCTGCATCTCCCATAATACCCGCCGTATCTACTGACCACGCCTGACACACTTCCATTTTCCTGTTTATTTATTTTTTATCAGGGCTTGATGAAGGATCCATAGCGACTCTTGAAAAACTGTTTCAAACATTTTTCCCATTTCTGGAAAATATCCTGATTATATATATATATATATATATATATATATATATATATATATATATATATATATATATATATATATATATATATATATATATATATATATATATATATATATATATATATATAATATGTATATATATATATATATATATATATATATATATATATATATATATATATATATATATATATAATATATATATATATATATATATATATATATAGGATGGGGTCCACCTCTGGTGTAAATTGTGGGACCCATAGCCTCGGAGAAGTGGATAAAAAGGCTTCAATTAAGAATATTTGGATTTCTTCCTGAAGCCGTTTGAATATTCCACTTCCCCTACCACCCCATCTTTTCATATAATTTTTTACGAATAGGAATATTTTATTACAAAATATGGTACAAAAGATTTAAGAGCTACATTGTTGATATAAAGGTGGCATATACGTTACATGTTGTTACGTGTGTATCACCGATTATAAGGCGAGAATCTCATCCAGCTCCTCAGAGCTGGGGCGTGTGCCCAAAATACAGCAGGCATTACCCCTTTGAACAGCCGCACTGAGCCGCTGGAACAGAAAACTAGCTGCCCTGGGATCCCTAGTTACCCTGATGAGTCTTTTTCCCAGCTCCTTAAAGAATTTAGATGCATTCTTTCCCCATGAGCCAAGGGTCTCTGAGCCTATATATATATATAAACACTCCGGCCGAGTTTCACCTAGGTAGGGTAACCCAACAAAGAAGAAAATACTTTCACTGCCACTCAATCGCTGTCTTGCCAGAAGCACGCTGACATTGCAGTTGAGATGATCCTCCAAACTGCAAACACTGTACTTTCCATATAGAGGACTCATGAACGACTAACTGGTTTCCATGAATCGCTTTATAAATGCTACCTTGTTCAAACTTCAACAGCACATCAAATTACTTGCCTTAACTGATTCTTGTATAACATGCTCACAAAAGACTGTTAGATGTGCTTAGAGTTAGGACAACCAGCTTCTTTTCATTCATAACATTCACAGTCAGTTCTTTCCTGACATTCACACTATCCCCATGCTCAAAAAAAGTCTCTTTTGTCCTTGCTCCTGGCATTTAGTAGCCTTTTACTATACACGTGGCTTATGAAGGAAGAATTTTCTCCTACTTCCCATGCTGATGATAGGAAATGCTATAAAAACTAGAACTATTAAAGGATGAGAAGAAAACTCAGATGAGTGTATATGCACATACGTACGCATATATACTCCATGTGTAGTGTAAATAGTAGTAAGATGTACTTGTCACCTTTATGAGACAGAAAGAAAACACACTTGCAGTTCTGTCACTGTGTAAAACAATCACATATTTCCGTTTCACACTCATTCGACAAAATGGTAATACCTTTCTGGGTGGATGCTGGCTGCCAACTTACTACCCATAACATTTATTTGAGTGATACATGGGAACATATTGATGAGTACAGCTGTTTAGGAATTTGCATATATGCAGAATTGTAGGGTGTGGAAACTCTTAATTTGTGGAGGTCATCGAGCTCAGACTCAGCAGACATTCCCTCTCTTGATCTTCCATACTGAGGAGCTGGGAAAGAAAGGTGGCAACTCCTCACTCATCACCTGGTGGCTTCGGTGAGTCTGGAATACAGCTCTTTGAAGAAACTCATGACATGCTTTCCGGGGGGAGGTAGGTAGGTCTCTGATCTTTAGGGACGAGGTGGTACTGGTGGGCCAAGTTATGGTTTTTCCTGTGATCAACAGCACTACTCTGTTGACCAGCAATATATATATACTCAGTGGCTACTTTATTAGGTGCACCCTTTTGGTACTGGGTAGTGTCACCCGTTTGCCCCCCAGAACAGGCACGAATTCAACAATGTACTGGAAACATGCCTTAGAGATCTTGCTCCTCATTGACATGACAGCATCACACAGTTGTTGCACATTTCTCGGCTGCATAGTCATGCTGCGAATCTCCCGTTCCACCACATCCCGAACATTTACGCCAAGTTCTGACCCTACCATCTACATGTCGAACCGGAAATCGCTATTAGTCAGGCCAGGTGATGTTTTTCCAGTCTTCAACTATTCAGTTTCCTGTTCTTAGCTAAAAGAAATGGAACCCCGTGTGTTCCTCTACTCCTATTTCCCATCCACATCAAGGTTCGACTTGTGCATTCAGAGATGCTATTCTGGATACCACTGTTGTAACGTGTGATTATCTGAGTTACTGTCGCCTCCCTGTCAGCTCGAACCAGTCTGGTTATTCTCTGACCTCTGTTATTAACAAGGCGTTTTCGCCCACAGAAATGCCGCTCACTAGATGTTCTGTGTTTTTTACACCATTCTCTGTAAACTTTAGACTGTTGTGCGTGAAAACCCCAGATTAGCAGTTTCTGAGGTACTCAAATAATCCTGTCTGGCACCAACAATCATTCCACGGTCATGTCACATACATCATATTTTTTTCCATTCTAATTCTTGGTCTTAACATGCTTTTAGGCAATGAGGTGCAGCCACGTGAATGATGGCTAATTAGATATTTGCGTTAACGAGCAGGTGTACAAGTGCACCTAGTAAAGGAGCCACTATACACACACACACACACACACACACAAATATATATATATATATATATATATATATATATATATATATATATATATATATATATATATATAATATATATATATATATATATAATATATATATATATATATATATATATATATATATATATATATATATATATATATATATATATATGCAATAAGATCACAGTAAACAGGTGATTTCAGAATATGCAAAACAACCACTGTGAAAGAATGGAGAAGTTCCAAGCGCTTTCGTGACTACTCACATTATTTATTTATTTATTTATTTATTTATTTATTTATTTATTTATTTATTTATTAATTTGAACATGATAAAGTGAAGTACAAAAGAATACAGTAAAATGCAGCATGCCAAAGCCACTTGAATGCAGAGCATTACGGGCAGGCTTAAAATTAACTTAAGATTAACTAAGCAATGATATATTCAGCGGTACAAAAATTATTGTAAATCAGATAACAATTTAGTACAAATGAGTATTACAAAGACAGGTCATATGGTCATTTACTGTGTTGCTGTGTAATCAGTAGTAATCAGTAGTAATCAGTAGAATGGAGTATTCTGTTAGGTAATGAAGTTAAATAGTAACAAAGTTTGATTGGGTCACAGGTTGACATTTATGAGATACAATAATGAGATACATATATGAGATACAATTTATGAGATACAATTATTCAGTATTTATTTAGTTGTGGGTGAGTAAGTGATTTTTGAGAAGAGACTTGAATTTATAAACAGACAGTGTTTCTTTTATATTCACAGGTAATAAATTCCAGATTTTAGGGCCTTTTATGTGCATTGAGTTTTTGCATAGCGTGAGATGGACACGAGGAACATCAAAGAGTGATCTGTGCCTTGTGTTATGGTCATGTGTTCTGTTGAGGTTGGTAAGGAGATGTTTGAGGGGAGGGTTTATGTCAGAGTTAAGTGTTCTATGTATGTAGTAGGTGCAGTAATAAGTATGGATCTTTTGTATTGTGAGTAGGTTTAGAGTTTTGAATATTGGTGGTGTGTGTTGTCTGTAATGGGAATTTGTTATCATTCTGACTGCAGCCTTTTGTTGGGTGATTAGTGGTCTGAGATGGTTTATTGTTGTTGAGCCCCATGCACAAATTCTATAGGTGAGATAGGAGCAAATAAGTGAGTGATATAGGGCCAGGAGGGCTGACTGTGGAACATAGTACCGTATCTTCGATAGTATGCCTACGGTCTTGGAAATTTTTTTGGAAATTTGTTGTATATGTGTTTGAAATTTGAGTCTTTATCAAGGTGGATTCAT